CCACCCCCAGGCCCCTCGGTGCAGAAGCGGTGACATCATCCCGTCTGGGCCACAGCCCAGGGCTGGAAGCCTGCTTTCCCCCTGAAGTCCCTCCTTTTTAGTCTGGCCAGTCGTTTTTCTTCGGACCAAGAAAAAGAACCTCTGGCAGTTGTTTTCGACACCGGATACAAGAGGGTGCGGGAGAGAATTTCAAGAGAGAGAAAGACACCCTTTGGCGTGAAAACTGAACTTTGCTCCCTCTGCCTTAGAGTTTTTCAAAGTATAGAGTTGGGGGGAAATAGGAGCTTCTGCTGCCCTCTAATTCTGAAATATATTTGCTTTCTCCGGTAGGCGGCATGAGGAGCGCTAAGGACAGTTGGGACACTGTCCTGCGAGGCAGGGGAGAGTGCAGTGGATGTCGGAATAGGAGGGACACATTGTATAAATTACCCCACTCCGCCCTTAGTTGTGTGGAGTGTGGTTTGTTGTTGTTGTTGCTGTTGTTGCTAGTAGACAGTTTGGGCCTAAATTTTTCCAGTATAACACTTGGTTTGTTTCTGCTCCAGGAACTTAATAGAACTGGGGGAAGGTGTGTTAGCATCTTCCAGCTTGGGAAATGTCTTCCAACATTCCCTCTTCCTTCTAACTCCCTGTTCCCCTCTCCAGCATTAGTGGAACCCAGGAGAAAACATCAGACACCACAATCTGAAAGGTCTCCCCAGCTCTGATCCTTCATGCCAAAGGATTTCCACCTCAGCAGCCTAAAATCTTGATTTTTGATGTGCTCAGAGACTGTTGCTTGAGTTGAGTAAGAAGCTAAGAAGCTGTGTACTATGGGATGCAAATATGTATGCTTTGCTTTCTCTTTTATCTTATTTGCATTAGGAAGAGGTAGTAAGTTCAATTGCTGGCTCAGCTATCCACAGAAAAGGGAGGCTTTATTTATATAAGATTGATGTATGTCAATCTTCAAGTGGTAAGACTTCTGGTATATGCTATTTTTTAGGGCATCAGCAATATGGAAACATGTTCTCTGAATGTTAATCTTTAAAAACATAGTTTAACTTAAATTTAAGGCACACAATTTTTCTCTCCAAAGCTTAAACCTACACAATTAGTTTAGTTTTGACTGAGGATTAAAACTGAAGACTAAGGATTAAAACAGGCGAGGAAACAACAAGTGCAAGTGACATCTACTGGGAATTTACAATGGTCAAGACATGGAGCTAAGAACTTTAAATGCATTATCTTGTTTATTAGGGAACATGAATTAAACATAGTAAGTGAAAAGGATAAATGAGACAAATACATTTCAGGATTCATCCAAAGAGTGGTTCTTATTTAGGGGAAGCCCACGGTGTTCTTACACTGACAAGCCACTCTAGAAAGGTAATCCACTTCCTGTGGAACAGGTCTCAACCTCCAAAGATGCCAAACCAGGCTAGTAAAATATCACATTAGGAGGAAAGCCCAGATGACATCTCAAGCCATTTCTAGCAGTAAACTCCAATGAGCCTAAACCCTTCACTAAGCAAAAAAGATTTTCAGCTGTGGTTCCTACCAGGAGAGCAAGAGAAAGAGCTGAACTACCCTACACTTTTCCTATGAGTCTGAGCAGGGAAAACTTGGAGAGGGCTCAAATTTCTGCAGCCAGTTTGAACCTGCTGCATCTGTTTAACTATGTAAGTACCAAGTCACAAAGTCTCGTGGGCTTCCCTGATGTTCTCTGAGGCATGCCTTTTTTTTTTTTTTTTTTTTTTTTTCTTTAAGTTTTTTTTTTTTTTTTTTTTTGAGACAGGGTCTCATTCTGTCCACCCAGTCTTGGGGTGCCATAGACTGGGATCTGGCCACCCTGTGTGTGTTCTGCTTTTGTTATCAACCTGCACAGGGGTGCCTTTTTTTTTTTTTTTT